ACACACACACACACACACACACACACACACACACACACACACACACACACGCACACACACACACATACACACACACACTCACACTCAATCAATCAATTAATCAATCAATCGAACCCTTTTTTTGTTTATTTGTTTTCAAATTTTGCATCTGCATTTTTTTTTAAACACCTCATTTCCCCTTCAAAAAATAAAAATGCATTTAAAAAAAAAGTACAGGTAAACTCGACGACCATATATCTCATGATAAGAAATGGCAAAAAAACAATCCTGCTTTTCTTTATATATATATTTTTTAATTTTGTTGAAATCGATTTTAGTTTTTGATTTTTAATTTTTTTTTAAACAAAGTCGGATTCCAAGAAAGTATATATAGGAGTGTAGGGTTTTCCAATCCGTACAGCCCAATTTTGTTTTTTGTTTTTTTGCGTATTTTTAGGGAGGGGGGGAAATATATTGAAAAACCGGGTTGCGGACAGAGCCTGCCTGCGGCCTAGGCCGCGGGTGTCACACAGGTGGCGGGTGCATTGGTGAGGCCAAACGGCATCACTGTGAACTCGTAGTGGCCGAAGCGCGACCGAAAGGCAGTCTTCGACTGATCCTCTGCAGCGATGCGAATCTGATGGTAACCGCTGCGAAGATCAATCTTCGTAAAGAAGCGGTTACTTGCCAGACGGTCGAACAGCTCGTAGACACGAGGCATGGGGTAGCTATTCTTAAACGTGTAGCAGTTAACTGGGTTAAGGCCGAGATAATCGATGCAGAGATGAAGAGTTTCATCCGCTTTGCGAGCAAAGAGGACGGGTGCACCCCACGGGGAGTTGCTGGGTTTAATGAAACCCCGTCTCAGGAGCTCCTCAAACTGACGCTTGAGTTTAGTGGCTTCGGGGATCGAGAGTTTGTAAGGTGCCTGGTGGTGAACACGATAGTCAGGCACAAGCTGGATGGAGTGCTCAACGTCACACATCGGTGGGATGCCGAAGTACGAGAACGACGACGGAAAAACGTCGTGGTACTCTCAAATGAGGTCACGAACAGCGGACTCCAAGTCGGCCGTATAGCGTGCGAGTTCCTCTGCGTCAGCGTCAGCGAGCAACGACGAGGCGTACTCAACGGACGACGGAGGAAGGGAAGTAGAGATGGAAGCCATGGAGATAAAAGGAGGATCTGGCTCCAGAGAGATGAGCTCGGCGTCTGGACAGGGTGGATCATAGTGCAAGAGATCCGTAATGTTCACAATAAAGAAGGTGACGTCGTCCTGTCCGATGAAATGGGCGAACTGTCAAGGCGAGGTGACGGTGATAGAGGGAGATGGTTTGGGCACGGAAGGCTCCAGGGGAGGAGGATCGGGACGTCATGTCGTAGTGGTACCTATAAAAGGTACGCGATACGTCTGTCCACACTTCATTCTGAAAACCAGAGTGTTGGTCGCCCAATCGGCCTCGGTGGTACGAAACCTATGAGACCACGGAGTACCAAGAATGAAGTCGTTCCCCGTCTCCATCACGACGAAATGTGCAAAGGAGCGGTGGCGACGAGACGTCGGGGGACGATCAATCGGCTCCAGAGTGAGGAAGAAAGGGAGGTTGGTGAGCCTCTGATCGAAAAAGAACTGGGTCTTGTCATCTCCGAGGGTGACGAAGACGGGAGTCGGAGACCCTGTCGTGGGTAAGCGGGCTTCTTTCACCACACGTGGGTGAACGAAGTCGTCCTGAGAACCGGAATCCCACAATGTTGAGTACACCCTCGTGGAGGTTCGTAGTCGTACTGGAATGATCGGGAGGGTGCGATCAGGGTCAGAGAGGATGGCAAAAAAACGACGCAGTGCAGCGACATAGAGGGCGAGTCGCTCCTGACGAGCATGAAGCATGCTCAAGTCCAGAAGGGAGGACACAACGTCCTCATGAGTCGCAAGCTCCTCGCTGCAATGGGCTGAGCGAATGGCTCGACGAGTCGGTCGTCGCGGAGAGGTAGGCGGGGAGACGGTGGTCAGCGGAGGCACAGACGGTACTGCGACAGAGGGATGAGTCCACTCTGTAAGGTCCTACGATACCTCCACTCCAGTAGCGAGAGGGGCGGGAAGTCGGCTGCTGAGGAGGGCGCAGGTGTGCACTGCACCGTGGCTAGGAGGCGCCGCAGGGATGAGAGGCACCGGGGGGGGATTGAGCACAACACTGGCGGGAAAGCTCAGCATAGTGGCGGTCGAGGGCGGCGGTGTAAGGGCACTGTGAGGAGGTATGACCATTTTGGTGGCAGTGCGAACACCCACGCTGCCCAAAATGGTCGCGCGCTCCTCAGTGGAAAGGATACCACGAGGAGGGACAAAGACCTTAGGGAGGTCCTGCTGAGGGACCTCGGGGGGCGACGCGCCAGCGTGACCAGAGCGGCTGCGTGCCCGAGAGAGGGTGGAGAGGGCGAGTTGGAGGCAGTCAACTATAGCGAGGGTAGAGTCCTCCAGGTGGTAGTGGACGACCTTGCAGAGGTCGAAGTCGTCGCTATGGTCACCCTCAGGTGACAGCGGGGCAACAACGTCCTGCTCACCATACTCGAGCGCGCTGAAGCAGCGCAGAAAGTGACGACCTTGCTGTGCGAAACGGCAGGGATAATCATGGAAAGGGGAACGACGCTGGAAAGTGTCGTGAGAGGAGGAGGGAGCGTAACCAGTACACTGAGGCTGGGAGGAGGAAGTGGGTTGACGACGGGCCCGCATCTGATGATGGGCAATGGCGGCCTAGTAAGCGTGTGGGCCCGATGTGAAGTCATACCGCCATAACTCGGAGCGGTACTCAAGGGGAAGGTTGGCCAAGAAGCAATCAATAAGGGCAACCTCGGGGAGGAACGCCACATCACAAATGAGGCGGGCGTCCTAAAAGACCTGGATATGGCGGTTCAGGCCAGCAGCGCCATCAGAGCTGGACCAGCGTGTACTGAGGACATGGTCGAAGGCGTCAGTCAGGTCATGCCGGGCTCCGAAGCGATCCTCGAGGAACGCCAGAAAATCCATGAAGGTCGGGGTCTGACCCTCACGAAGGGAGTGAGTGTAGAAATCCTCCCAGGTGTCCAAAGGACCGCCACGCAGGCGCGTGGAGAGGTGAGTCACCCACTGGTGAGGTGGGACGCCCATGAGCTGGAGCGTGCGGGTGGCAGACTGCAGCCACCGAGACACGCGTATCCATGTACCGTCGTAAAAGGCAATGTCCCTCGAGCGGACGAGTGGTGCGCCACTGTTTTGGCGGCGAGGAGATCGAGGAGCAGAGGTCTGCGCTACGGCCGAGTAAGTCAGCGCAGGTCCTGGGGAAGGGGGCACAACTGACTGTACGTCGGGGCCTCATGGTGGAGTGGCGGGGGAAAGAGCGGCAGGCTGCGCGGGAGTTGCGGTAGAAGAGGTCGCAGCAACCGATGGAGATGAAAGATATGATGGGGGTGGAGGTGGTGCAGGGCGAGGGAAGCAAGCCTGCATGGAAGGAAGAGTAGAGGAAGAAGGGGGTGCGCCCGAAGGCGTGACCACCTGTGAGGGTAGGGATGGTTGAAGGCGTAAGAGGACGAGGTCGGCCCGGATTTGGGCAAGCTCGGTCTCAAGACGACGGACATAGATCGAGTGAGGAGTAGGAGGAGGAGGAGTGGGGGAAGTAGATGCACGAGCAGTGCAAGGCATCCCATAAGGGGGAGAGCCAGGTGGCGCTGCGGTCGTGCGAAGGGGAGGGAGAAGCGGGGCACCCGAAAAAGTTGAGACTATGACAGCGGGCTGTGGTCCCGTGGCCGTAGTGACCGGAATTGGGCGGGTGCGCTCGTAGAGTGAGGAAAGGTCTGGCCCATGGCGGCCATCTCGCTAGGGGCATAGACTGTTATCAGGATGGTCGAGTCGGGGGCAACAGAGGAGGAAGCTCCACCGTAGCCACCATGTCGGAGGACGGGGGACTCGGACTGGTCGCCAGGAGGAGAGAGGGAGTTGAGAGAGGAAGGACGAACAACGTCCTAGAGTTGCCGCATGCCAGCGACAAAAGTCGCCACCTGCGCTTGTAAGGGCGCAAGGGTCGCTAGTTGCGCTTGGATGGGCGCGAGGACGGAGGTGAGGAGGGTGTGCAGATCCCCCTGGGGCTAATGACCCTGGTCCGTCGGCACGGGTATGGAGCCCGGTGCCGAGGTCGTCGCCTCGTCGGCGGCTTGGTGACACGCCGTCGGCCATGGGGAGGTGACGGGCCGGACTGGAGGGGGTCAGAGAAGGGCCGTGTGAGCAGAGAGCGTAGGGGAGGGTTTGCAGTAGAAAGCGACAGACGGCGCTAGCGAATCTAGTGCGGGTGCCGACAAAGGGGGAGGGGTGGTTCGGGTCCAGGGTGCCCGAATGGGAAGGGGAAGTAGGGAGAAGGGGTGATGGGAGAGTAGGGGGGGGCTAGGAAAACCCTAAACCCTAGAAAAACCTTAAGAAAATCCTAACCGGAGTTTGAGTGGTTAGGGTAGGGTATCGGTGACCTAATCAAGAAGAGAAAATAGCAACCATGGAGGGGAGGGGGAGAGAAAAATAAATAGACAATGAAATTTCGAGAGAAAAATAAAAGAAAAATTATAAAAAAAATAAAGAAATAAACAAACAAAATGTGAAGAGAGAAAATTATTATTTTTTTGGATTTTTCGGCAACATTTCCTTACCCCCCATGGGGTCAAGAATGTGCCAAGACGAAGGAGAGACCAAGATAAGCACACAAAGGTTCAAAATGCCACAAATTATAAATTTTAAAAAATAAATAATGAAATAATAAGTAAATAAATAAATAAATAAATAAATGAGGAGGTGGAGAGTGAAGAGAGACTAAGTGTTGAATTTTTCAAAAATTTCGGAAGTATTTCGTTACCCCCATGGGGTCGAAGTGTGCCGGCAAGGATATGACTAAGTAAGATGTAGAGAGTGGGGAGAAAAGAGAAAATCTTGGCAGCACTTTGCTACCCCCACGAGGTTAAAATGTGCGCCGAGAGCGGAAGTAACTAAGTCCTACCAGATCTAGAGATGCCGCAGAAAAGATTCAAAATTTCAAAATAAATAAAAATAAAAGAAATCAGAAAATGAGAAAGGAAGTAGAGAGACGAAGAGAATTCAAATTTTAAAGAAATAGGAAATTTAAATCAGAAGTAAAACAAAAAGAAGAAAAAAAAAAAAAAATCGAAGTTGAGGGGGGAAAGGGGATGAAAGAGTGACGAAGGAAGAGAGAAACAGGTGAGAAAGAGAAAAAGATGGACGTGGAAGGTAGGGGGATGATGAGTTTGTAGTTGGGGGTGGTGAGAGAATGAAAGAGAAAGGGATGGGAAAGGTGGAGAGGAGTAGAAGAGATTAGTAGAAGATGGTGAGTGGGGAGGGGAGGAGAGAAAGGATGGTGGATGATGAGTGAAGAGGCAGGTAGGAGGAGAGAGGAGTGATAGGGTTAGAAAAAGTGATTAGATGGTGGAGGGGGGAGGAGAGAGAGAGGGGGGTGGGGGAGTAGGTTAGTGGGGAGTGATGATACCAAACTCTTGGTTGACCAAAAGCAACAAGATCATAAAGATCCATTGGATCTTGGCCTTCAAGATGCTGGCAGCCTGCTGCTGCAGCAGAAATGACGTCGGAGTAATCAAGGGTTGGCTGAGATCTTGATCAGCCACCCTGGTTGGCTGATGCTGTCGGGGGGCGCGGTGTCCCGGGCCTCTGTTGCGTACCAGGCGGCCGTTCGCCTACCTCCACTGTGTACCAAATGCCTGCCCACGGACTCCCGCTGTGTACCGGGCGTTCAGTCACTTGCCTCCACGACGTACCAACTCCCTGCTTAGAGTCTGCAGCGCACTGTTCGGGGCTCCACTGCAGGTGTACTAGCTGCTCCGACTTCTCGTTGTACCTGCTGCTGCTAGTGAACCACTAAATCGTACTATGTGTAACCCGGTCCAACTGCTCTGGACATGTCCAGTCGGTGCTTGTCTTGGCGGGAGTGTGCCGCTGGATTTCCCAAAGGTCCACGTAGGGGTAGCGCTACCGGCCTGTGGCCGAGGTGATCGTTGGGCTTACCCAGGGGTGCGAACGTGAGGGTTGTAGCGAGGACCATTATGCCGCGTGCTATATTTCCTCTGACCAAGTTGTGGGAGACATACGGGACAGTTGTCACGATCGTAAAAGAGAAGAGGGAAAAGAGAAAAGAAATTAAGAAAGTGAAAAGGAGTGGTGGTGTTTCAGACTGTGGTTTTCAGACGCCAATTCTCCTGCCCCCTGCGGGGGAATGAACGGTTCGTTTTTGAACTGTAAATGCGAGTGAGCGGCTTAGGTCAGCCTGGCATTCCACGCTTTGCTTACTGGGATATGAATTGCTGAGTACCGCGCCGAGGGTCCCCAATATAGGAGCACCCGCGGCCGCGTTGGTAGGAGGCTCGTCACCTCCCCTGGGAGGTCATGAGCCCCCTCCTTGCCATCAGACGTGGGTACCCATCAGGGGTAGTTTGAAGCCTCCTTTTCAAAGAAGGAGAGTGGCCGCCGACACTGCATTATGGGACTCAAGTCGAGCCTGCGGGTCATTTCACATAGAAGGATGACCGTTGAAGTCCGGCTTTCGCCTCCTCTCTTTGTTTATTTTATTTTATTATTTTCTGAATTACAGACCGCGAAAATGTTACATTCTAAGAGCTACCAGAGTTCCTTGTTTAGAGCACGGGGATCTCGGCATGTGTCAATCTTATAAAGTGCGGGGGGAATTGGCTTTGGTTACATGGGCATGAGCGGCC